CAAGTAATAAAATAATACATCACTATAATTTATAGTGAGTATCCTCAAATCTCCTCATAAAATAAAGGATGGAATAAATTAGACACTTAGAGTCTAAATCTAAACAATCACTATCGAGGAGACTTTTACAGGTTTCGTTGAATGTCTTGCACAATGTTAGACAAGAGAGGGAACATCGAATGAAATAAAAAGTACCACACTTTAAATAACTTATAAAACGTGTAAACAACGCATTAAACATGCAAATAAAGAGACAAAACAGACACTTTTCAACTTTATTGAATTATATTTTTATCATACTTATAGTTTGACATGCAATTTTCTACTTCACACAGTCAATAAACCGAAAAAATAGAAAATTCCAACTAATATAAATAGTTCAACTCATAACTATCAAAACATCAAACAACATGTCACAACCTCAAAAAAGATATTATGAATTTAGAGCCATGCACGGCTTTATAACAATGAACTTTGCACCACAACAAAAAGTTCCAAATAAAGAAACAATAAAAAATGCAATTGAACAGTGGTGCTCCACAAAAAATAAACAAGCTCATATAAAATATTTAGCTATAGTGAAAATTACACAAGGACTTAATAAGCACCTCCATGCTTTCTTCGAACTCGAGGATGTTGCATATACTAGAAAAAGGGTGTTGGTGAATATCAATGGAAATCCAGAAATTATTAAGTTTGAAAAAATAACAGAAAATAAAAATTATGATGGTTCGTTTAATTCTATCATCGAATATTTAAAAAGACAGAAAGATAAAAATCCAAATGAAGGAGCAATATTCGAAGAAATTGGAAAAATGGACAAGAACAAAGGGAGATTAGGAGATACAGACATAGGAAAAGCACTCAGAATGGCAGACTTAGAAGAAGCACATGCTTACTTAAAAAATATCAGCTTAAAAGGTTATATGAATAATGTAGCTAAGTTTGATAGTATATGGGTTCAAGAGCATAGCAGAGATAACTATGGAAGAATTAAAATTAAATTACAAGCATGGAAAGAAGACAATCCAGTTGTCAAAAATAGTAGAATATGGTTAAACTATGCTCTGAGTGGGAAAACAAAAAGAGTCAAAACATTAATAATTGTAAGTGATACCAAAATGGGAAAGACTGAATTTGTAAATGACTTGCTGAAAGATTTGAAAGTAGATGAGTTTAGAGGAAGATTTATGATGGATGGACATAATGAAAATGTAAGATATGACATTAGATTATTTGATGATGCCAATTTAAACGATATTATTTGGTCCGAATTTAAATCGCTTATAAGTACTAGAGGAGAACAAATAACTATAAATGTAAAATACTCACATGCCAGAGTCACTTCCATACCAACGATATTAGTACTTAGTCGTGGAAGTTGGAAAGCACTTCAACGAACAGCTAAAGAATATGAAGATTTTGACTGGTTGAAGAAAAACACAATAGTACTTCAAACTAAAGAAAAATTATATATTGAACCACCACCTAAAGCAGAACTAATACAAGATAAAAGCAAATATGATGGACTGGATCAAAAACTAGTAGAAATGCTTTTAGAAAATGAAATTGAAGAGGTAAGTGAAGACATGGGAGATGTTACAATTGGCGATTTAAATGATGTTGTTGAACAAATAGAACAAGAAGGTCTAACTCCTCCTCTACAAATAGACATACCAAATGAAGAAGAAATACCAAGTAAAAGAATAGCAGTTGATGATCATGAAATACAAAAAAGATTCTTCGATACAAGTAAAAATATTTTATCAGAAGAAGGAAATAATAAATATATTACAACCCAAAGTGGAAAGAAGATAAGAATAGCAGATGAAGATAGTAGTGAACAAGAAGAAAGTGAAGACAATCCAGATACTCTAATTAATAATTGGAATACTGGTAATTTTTAATTAACTATTTTTATAGTTTATCTTTTATTTTTATTTAACATGAACTATTGGCATAGATTAAAGGTATTTAGAAGAAGATGGTATAATTAATGAAGTATAAAAATAATTGTTACTCAGATAACTAGTCACTAGATAGAATAAATGATAATTATGATCTAGATAATGGAGAATATGAATATTTTGAAGAAGATGTATATTTACACCCAGATGTTTATAACAAAAAGTTACTTTGATCCAGACAATGAACTAGAGCGAACAAATAAACCAGACATAATTAATGAATATTTTAGTAAGACAGAAGAATCTGTATTTGATGACGCAAACTACGAAGAATATAATGAAGAATTTGGTAATATTGACTATCCAAATGAAGAAGAACAGTCTAAAGAAAAACAAAAAGAAATACAGGATGAAGAAGCAACTACCTATAAAATAATTAATCCAATTAATCCTGAACAAATTTATACTTATGATGACAATACAATTAAAATACTTGATGGAGTTATTGACATCAACAATGATGAGGTACCTGTTGATACACTCATTCAAGTAGATTAAGATATTAAAAAGAATAACGAAATAATCGAAAATGATATATCAGAAGAGAATTTAAACGATATTACTGTATTAATTACTGATAGAGATGATAAAGTAATACTAGCAGACAATATAGAAGAAGATAAAATAGCAGAAGTACTGCAAAAATTAGAACAAACACCATTACAAGAAGAAATAGAAATACATAAAGATGTAAGATCCAGACAATTTCATAATACCACCAAAACAATACAAAAAAATAAACCAATGGATGATGAAGAAGATAAAAAGAATAGAAAAAGATATAGAAAATTAAATGACTTTTTTAATGATAATTATAAGAAAAGAGGTGAAGATATTTCATCAAATAATGAAAAGAATAGAGGAGATAATAAATGTAAAATAAAATATCAAGCTAAAAGATTATTCGAAGAGAAACTAACATCAGCATTGTTTAATCCACCAAGAAATAACATCTTACCACCACAACAACCAATACAAGAAATTAGATCATTAAAACAAATAATAATTAATCCACAACAAAAGAAGAAAAAGAAGTCTACCAAGAAAATAGACTAGATTAATTACAACAGCGGAAATAAACCAGATGACGATTCTAAAGGTATAAAAATCAAATTAAATGAATTAGAAGAAAGAAAAATGGCATTAAAAGAAGCAAATCAACACCTGCCTTTATACCTTTAGAATCGATAAATATTCCAAATGTCGAAGAAAACGAAGAACCAACATTACAAGATGATGGAGAAGACTTAGAATGGCATGATAACCATATGCAAGAAGAAATAAAACAAGACCCAGTAGCAGAAGATGCTGGATATTGGTAAAATTTTAAATATAATTCAGAAAAAAGAAAATAAACTATCCAGTACAACTTCTAGATGATAAAAACAAGATAATATAAATAAACTAGCAAAAGAATAAAAATACAAAGAAAAACAAGAGAAGATCAAAAAGATGAAAGATCCTATTAATAAAATAACAGAAGTATGTTAATAAGAAAGTTAAAAATATTTAAAAACATCCTCTATTAATAGAAGAAGAAATACCTAAAGAATTACTAGAAAAAAGGCAAGAAGAAGCGTTACATGATTATAATTATAGATTACAAAAGTTCAAATCAGAATTTATAATTATACAACAATCACCTTCTACAAAAACCAAAAAAGAAAGAGGAACAAAAGAAAGAATGTAAGAGTATATTTATAATAGAAGATAAAAAGAAAGAAGAAGAAACAAAAC